CGCCCAAAAGTACACGCAGTATTCCAACTGCGGTCTGACCAGCGCCCGATAGAGGGGAAGTATCACCTCTTTGGATCTGTTTGTCATGCATCTGCTGATGCACGATAAAGTGCCATTAGCTTTCCTGATGACTTCATCACGCCGCCGACTCATGTTCATCTTGGAGTCCACTAGGACTCCAAGATCTCTTTCCACTTCCGTGCCACCCAGCAGGTCATTCCCTAGGCAGTAGGTGTGCTGGACATTTTTCCTCCCTAGATGCAGCACTTTGCATTTCTCCTTGTTGAACTGCATTCTGTTGTTTTCCGCCCATTTGTCCAACCTGTCCAGGTCTGCCTATAGTTGTTCCCTGCCCTCCGGCATGTCCACTTCTCCCCACAGTTTTGTGTCATCTGCAAACTTGGACAGAGTACACTTCACTCCCTCGTCCAAGTCGCTGATGAAGACATTGAAGAGTATCGGTCCAAGGACCAAGCCCTGCAGGACTCCACTGCCCACACCCTTCCGGGTCGATACCGACCCATCCGCTATGACTCTCTGGGTACGCCCCTCTAGCCAATTCGCCACCCACTGAACCGTGCAGTCATCCAAGTCACAGCCTCTTAACTTGTTCACCAGTATGGGGTGGGATACTGTATCGAAGGCCTTCCTGAAGTCTAAGTATACAACATCAACCCCTACTCCTGCGTCCAGGTGTTTTGTAACCTGGTCGTAAAAGCAGACTAGAATAGTCGGGCATGATCTACCTGCTACTGGTTGCTTTGTTCAGGTCTTGGCAGTTTATAGGTAAGGGGCAGGTGTGGCCAGTGGAGGTGGTAGCTTGATACCATAAATGCCACCTGCAGGCTTTGCCTTCTGTTTCTGAGTTAATGAATATAGCACAGACTGCTGAGCTGTTCTCAGTTCCAGGTGATTGCAATTAACTAAAAGTGACTGACAGTCCCTATGTGCAGGGATCCTCCCAAAAGGATCCAGCCTTGAGGCTAGTCAGGGAAAGGTCTTGTGGCCTCTCGAGTTGTGACCAGATGGAGTTGACTGCATGACTGAGAGTTGTGCTCTGAAGTCAGGGAAGTGGCCCTGTCTAGGGGAGGCAGAATCCCTCCATGTGGCTGTAGCATGTGGCAATGCAGTTCCTGCGACGCTGCAGAGCTCAGACCTCATCTCAAGTCACACAGCACAGACTCGCAATAAGCTTTTCTTCCTTGGATTTCCCCAGTAGCGAGGGTTGGGATAAGCAGGTTCTCCCCCTTACTCAGTTGCTTTGAAGGCATTATTGACTGAAGCTGTCAAGACTGCTTCGGTCCCCCCAGCTCAGTGGCCTGGCATAGGCAGGCTGGCATGGACTCTGCCTGCTCTCTTCTTAGACATTTCTTACTGAAGGTCCCTGTGAAGATGGGCAGCCATGACCTGCTGTCCCTGGGCTTGAGGGTCAGAGAGTTGGGGGAATTGTGCCAAACTGCCCCAGGGCTGGAACGTTTCTGCTTAAGTTTAGGGTTCACTTTTCTTTCTGGCTTTTTGCAGACCAAGTTCCGTTTGGGCGTGAGGTTCTACACGGAGGAGCAGCCAGCCGCAGCCATTCTGCATCTGGAGAAGGCGCTGGAGGAATATTTTGTGGCTGACGCAGAATGCCGTGCGCTCTGTGAGGGGCCTTATGATTATGAAGGCTACAATTACCTGGAATACAGCGCTGACCTTTTCCAGGCCATGACAGGTGAGTGCAGCACACAGCCCTTTGCCAGCTAGTGTGCAGCACAAGCCTCTCTTGCTGGAACCTCCTACAGCTGAATCTCCCTTCTACAGTTTGCTCTTAGAAGGTTTTCTGAACTTGGTACAGACTACCAGGACATTTCATGTTGGAGGTGAGGAGTCGATGGCTGAAGAGAAGGAGCCAAACTTGAGCCTATGCAACTTTTAAAATTTCCCAGGCTTATTTTGTAGGTTCTAATGAAGCGGTTGCTGTCTGAGGCTCTCATGAATGAAGAGACTTTGCTCTGACTCAAGACTTTGTTGACCAGTTAAATGTGCTTTCTCTGTCAGATCACTACATGCAGGTGCTAAGCTGTAAACAAGGCTGTGTCACTGAATTGGCTTCCGAGGATGGCCAAGAGAAGCCCATTGAGGATTTCCTTCCATCTCACTTCAACTACCTGCAGTTTGCCTATTACAACAGTAAGTGGCTTCTCTTGTCCCTTTCCAGGCTGGTAGGTCCCTCCAGTCACGTTTCTGGGATTGTTGGCCACAGCACAGCTCTATTGATGCCTAGACAGAAGAAAGAGGCAGTAGTGTATAGCATATTCTATATTAAAATATATAATGCATATATGTTAGCAGAAGACAGCTGATGTTGCAGTCAGGGAGTCAGAAAATGCCATAAGTACAGCCTCACAGACAACTTCAGTCCTGACCCTTTGCATTCATGCACTAAGATACAGCCCTGCATTACAGGACCCTTCGCTGGTTCTTTCCCACAGAACCTTTGCATTAATAAATTTAGGGCATGGGATGGATGCTGCTCAAGAATGAGGTAGCTCTCAAGAATTTCTTATTATTATTTCATGTGTGGCCTCAGCCTCAGTTACTATTCCTCATCCCAAAACTTCACAAAATGTGGTGGGATTTATTTCATTGGTGGCTTTTCAGTTGCATGCCTTAGCATAGTATCTGGGTTACTGATCCATTGTCCCAATTTGTTATCAGTGAATATGAGCCTGCCAGCCCCTGTGCAGTTGTCTGTTCCCTTTCAGCAAGTGATGGGGAGAAGAGTGACTTGGCCTTTTATTTGGCTTTGTGTAGAAGTAAGAGATGAATGAAGGGGAGGAATGCCCCCATTCCCATCTCAGCAGACAGCTCCAGCTGCAGAGCCAATTTCTGTTTGCCTTTGGCACTAGACAAGTTCAGCAGCATGATCTTTTTATTTCTGCAAATAAATTATTTCCATTGAAGAGTGCAAGGCAACCCCTTGTTTCATCTATTGGCTGGATTGAAGTCGTGCATTGCTGTGGGTTTCCAGCCACATCCTGTAGCTTTTTTCTTGCTCCCTCCTCAATTGTGAGGTTCAGAAATCACAGCTCAGTGACGGGAATCAGGCCGACCAGGAGCAAATGATCTCTTAGTTGTTAGGGTAACAAGGGCCTGGGCTCTGGGCCTTTGCATTCCGGGGATGTGGCTGTTCCTGGATCAGACTGTCTCTGCATGAAAACATCTATAAGGTTGCTCTGCTTTGTGCTTCTCCTAGCCAGCATCCAGCAGAGAAGCAAGAAAAAAGCTTCTCTTAATGAGCTGATTTCTTTTTGCAGGTGGGAATTACGAGAAGGCCATTGAGTGTGCCAAAACCTACTTGCTTTTCTTCCCGAACGATGAAGTAATGAATCAGAACGTGGCCTACTACACAGCTGTGCTTGGGGAAAATCTGGCTGCACCAATTCAGCCCCGAGAAGTGAGTGCCCTTCAGGCAACCTTCTTCTAGGTCTTTGCCAGCTGGGTTGTCATCTTGTGTTTCCCAGTCCTAGTGAAACAGCTGCTGGGGTGCTGGGATCACAGCTTTTAGGGCAGAAGGGGCTCAGTGTCCAGTCGATGTGCATTATCGTGCAGGAGGGACAGCATGGGAATGGATCACCTTCGTTCCTTTTGTGAGGGTTCCTGTTGTGCTAGGAAACTGGACCGGAGCTTTCTAGTTGAACCTCAGTCCAAACCAGACAATGAATACGACTGGGCTAGGCATGAACATAACCTAGGGCATAAGCCTTTGAGTATCTCCTATTAGGATGCTGTGGTGCACACGTCCAGCTTTACACCTTCCTCTGAAGAATGATGTCCAGGTCACTTGCAGGCAGGATCACAAACTAGAAAGTCCCATGATCTAATTCAGGGTGTCAAATACACAGCTGGCTGGGAGCTCCATGTCCAGGCTGCTGATGAGCCACCAAAAGTTGGGGGCCATGGCCAGGGGGTAGTGGCCTGCCGCAGAATCCAGGTTGCTTGGACCTTAGTGGACATGGTGATCAGTGGCAGAAGGGGAGCAAGAGCTGACACTGGCCCAGTCGCCCTCCAACTGCTTTGCCTGTTGCCACTGCCATGGCCTAGCTCCTAGACCACCAGCCCTGCCACAGCCTGGTGCCAGACCCGGACCTGCCACCACTGCATGCTCTGTGCGAGAGCTGGAGCTACTTCCCTGACACCCCAATCTGATCCACTGAGGCAGTTCCTATCCTCTTTGTTAGTTCTGTCACTGGTCTGCCAAGCTGCTGGACTGTTAGTAATGTATCAGGCAGGTGGGAGGGAGAGATGCGTCTGTTGATGACTCAGAAATATTCCAGCCTTGACCTCTTGTGCTCCTCCCTCCCAACCTCTCTGTCCTGTCTCTTCTCTGCCTCCTGACAGCTAGGAAGTGAGAGCGCCTTGTAGAAACGGTTACTGATCAAGAGAGGTAAGGGGATGCTCGGGGAAGCTAAGCACCCATAAATCAACACCCTGGGTTATCATTGAAGAGTGTAATCGGGAATTGGTGAACTAATTGCCCAGACTCATGGTGTCAGTTTATAGACATCTTGGGGAGCTGAGGATGGTCCTTTAAGCTCCATCCCCTCCATCTCCTCTCATTGCTAGCCCTGGCTCCTTGTTTCAAGCTCAGGCTTCCCACCCCCACCTCAGTCTCCAGACTCAGACCTGTCCCCATCTCCTGCCCTTTCAGAATATCCGGGTGTACCGGCAGCGCAGTCTGCTGGAGAAGGAGCTGCTCTTCTTTAGCTACGATGTCTTTGGGATTCCGTTTGTGGACCCGGTGAGTAGAGGCTCTCTTGGCTGGACCTAGAGGTGCAGCAAGAACTGGAAGGTGTAGATAGCCCGGGGAGGAGGAGAGTGGCTCCAGGGAGAAGTTGTGACAGGTCAAGTGCCCTTCAGCAGCACTGCGGTGCGTCCGGGGCTGGCACAGCACATCACTGATTCCTTGAGTCTCTCCTTATCACTGGTGACTGGTTTCTTTCCTGCCTGTAGGATACGTGGACCCCAGAGGAGGTGATACCAAAGAGACTGCGAGAGAAGCAAAAGTGAGCACTGTCAGCAATGCCAGCTGCAAGGCAGCCCGTTTGCTTGTGGAGGCCAGTTTACCCAACAGCCTTCTTGGCAGTTTGGGTAAAAGCCTCAGACCACCTGGCTGTTGCAGGACAGGCAGGAAGGGCTAGAGTCCGCTGAAGGGGGAAGTCCTTTGACCCTCCCACCATGGATAGAAGACATGTAGCTGGCCTGTCGACTTGTTCCATTGAGATCTCCTGTGTAGAGCTCAAAGTGCTGCAGGGCTGCTGGGGTTCCCCCAGGCTGCCTTCTGCAGCTAGGCAGGAAATTGGGCTTGTGGCTAAAGCATATGCTGTTCTAGCTTGTCTGAGGGTTGATGGGGCTCCTGGGCAGTTCAAGGGAGAGGAGCCTGTGTAGCTAACTGTTGAACCCTGCCCTCTTGTACCCATTACCTACCCCCCCCCGGTACCTGTGTGTTAAGGCTGTGCGAAATGGAAGCGTTTCGTTTCGACCAGCGTTTCGACAGAACGGTGTTTTGTTTCGACTTGTGTTTCGAGTCGAAATGTCTGTTCCATTTCAGTCCATTGAAATTTTTTGCCGTTTTGACGTTTCACCCATAGCATATAATGGGGAAGGTCGAAACAGGATATAACTTTGTAATTTCTTGCCTGATTTGGATGAAACTTGCAGAAATGGTAGCCCCTTCTGAGGGCATGATGCATGCCAAGTTTCGAGAAGATAGGTGCAGAGGGTTCAGAGAAACTCCACCCCAAAATCCTGAAAGCAAAACTTGTGTTACGTGTATGTGTTAAGTGACAGTGGGGGTCAAAACTGCAGGGATGGTAGCCCCTGCTGAGGCCACGAAGCCTCCCAAGTTTCAAGAAGATCAGTACAGGGGTTTGGGGGGAACTGCATCCACAATTCTTGAAAGCAAAGCTCCTGTCACATGTATGTGTTAAGCCACAGGGGGGTCAAAACTGCAGGGCTGGTGGCCCCTGGTGAGGCCACAAAGCCTGCCAAGTTTCAAGGAGACAAGTGCAGGGGTTTGGGGGAAACTGCACCTCAAGGTGCAGACAAGCAAAACTCGTGACATGGGTGCTTGTGCAACTGTGTCTGTCTCAAGGCACTGGGGGGGCGTGAGGGACTACTGCAGGCCTGGCTGCTAAGCTACTGTGTTACCAGTTACCAATTAATTACGATTCACTCGGGGACCAGCTCAATACACAATACCTAGCTATTACATAATGACTTAATGAGCATGGATTAACACCTACAAAACCAGAGACCAAGGAGAGGAAATAATCAATACAAACAATCCAAGTTTGCTGATGACAAACTCTATGCGAACTGTCCAAGTTTGCTGATGACACTAAGATGTGTGGCGAGGTGGACACACTTGAGGGGAGAGAGAGGCTACAACTAGATTTAGACAGACTCCAGAAGTGGGCAGACGAGAATAGGATGGGGTTCAACATAGACAAGTGCAGGGTGCTGCACCTGGGGAGAAGGAAGCCACAGCACACATACAGGCTGGGGAGTTTCCCTCTTGAAAGCACAGAGGCGGAAAGGGATCTTGGAGTCATTATCGACTCCAAGGTGAACATGAGCCGCCAGTACCAGACCGCAGCCAGCAAGGCCAGCCAGACCTTGTCATGCCTCCAGAGGTGCATCT